ACAGCAATTTCAGAACAAACTCATATAGATAATGTAATATAAAATGGCAACGTTATCACAGCAAAAGAGTTTTTTCAATGGCCAGCACAAACTTGAATAGAAAAAAATGGTACAGTAACAATGTGTGCAGTTTTTAAATGAGTAGGGCTGTTAGCAGAGAGGAATAAAGGAAGATATCAGAGATAATGAAAGGAACACCTGAATGAAACACAGCAGAATAAAAGATATTAGAAAAAATACAATTTCATCGAAAGTAAATGAATAAGCATAATTAAAAATCATTGCATATTAGAAATAAAAGGAATATGAAGTGAAGAGGAAGAACTGAGTTGGCGTGAGCCATTGGCTTGGAATTCGGATAGTATTGGAATTAAACTTGAAGATGGTAGATTGTTCTGTAAATGAATAGTAAGTTTTTAATATCATCAAAAGTGAACCCAGAAAAATTTGGGTATTTGTAGAAAAAAGCTTATGAGTACTGTGTAAACGAAGGTACGGGGCTAATAGGCAAAATAAACGCATGATATGTCTCTGAAGATTACCTGAGCAACAAGGAATAGATTCAAAAAATAATCATTACGATCATGCTAGAGGATAGATTATGACAAAGATGCTGAAAGATGAAGGAGTAGATGAAACTATAATTTATATTAACAAGGATTAGAAAGATATGTTGGTAAGACAAGGCAACAAAGTTCCAAGGTAGGGGTCTTTATAGAACGATATGCAAAACAAGGGCAAGAAAGTGAAAAAAACAAAGAAAGGAATTTTAAGGCATATAAAAAATATCTATCATTACCAATGTAAGTGAGAATAAAAGGCGACTTAAAATAGTCCTCTGGAAATATGATGCAAAATATGATATGAAGTTTTACATCAAAGCAAAGAAGTCACTGAACAACGATGTAATTACCATAACCTGCCATTAAAAATCCGGATCTAATCCTGATAATATCCGAAAAGGAAAATATTTACTTACAAGAGGAAAGTGTATACAAGATTACTTAGTCCAGAAAATGCATTCAGGATAATTTCCATTTAGTAACCAAAAAATAGTTCAGATTACCAATAAGGGTAAAAAATAAAAATAAGCTCACTGTGAAGTTTGTCATGAGAAATGCTCCAAAAAACTCATATTTGACACATATGCATAAGAAAACAGTGAAATTATAAGTAGAGATTGAAGGGCACTTGATGAGAAAATAAGAAAGTAATAAAAATATAAATATGTTGATAAAGGTTAAGATTATATGTCAAAAACATCCTTTTTTCGTGGTTGTTTGGCAACCTTCCTACTGTCAGCCTTACGCTGAGTGGGAATATCACAAAGCCCAAGTGGTGGGCTCGCTTGCAGGCCAAGTAAATATTCATGCACACGTATGAGCTTAATCTGGCTAGGCTCTATTGGACCTGATAATAAAGTATCCACCTCAACACCTACAACTGCTTCAGGTGGACTAACAGCCCATTTCTGTGAAGAAAGTGCATCCGCCGCCTCGCCTTCTCGTTTGATAGCTCCTGTTACTGTGATGGTAGATCCAGTCTTTGAAGTACGCTGACAGTTCTCATTGCAACCGACCGAAGCAGTTACAACTTGGCCAAAGTGTGTTTCACAGGTGTCTGAAAGTTGGTGTGAATATGGTGGTGATACCAGTGCAGTTGTTGATGTAGATGACTGGAGGGTTAAGTTCATAGCACATTCAGAGGCTGGTGGGGCGGCAATAAGAAGCATGGGATTTCCAGAAAGATGAGGGATTGCACCTGCAAGCAATGGTAGTCGTTTTACGGGCAGCTCGCTGTTCGACTGCGATGTGGCCATCAGTAATAGCGGTCTTGATATAGACTGTAGAGTAACCGATGAAGAAGGCGCAACGGAGAGATAAGATTGCTGTAAGGAGCTCGAAAACGCTGTCGTTGTCGCCACTCTTGTCGAACTTGGACTGGCAACTGTATCTGTAATAGAGGGAAAAGAAGTGGTTACTTCACGATAGAGTGGCCGAGCTATACTAGCTGGATAAATGGAGAGGCAAGCTTCACTATTATTTTGGGTTTTTAAATGAAATGGCCATTCAAGTGTGCTTGAAAGACTGGAAGCCGCTTTATTTCGGAACTTATCTATCAAATACAAACGTGTGCTAAGCAGTCGAGGTATCTCTCCTGCTGCCCTGGGCTATTCATATTTCCTATATCCTCGTATCACGCCTTCACTGCGACCATACCAGAGGCCACAGCATCTTGGTCTTCATATCTTTAATATATGTGTTTGATCATAGACGTGATCCATAAAACACGTCAATTTTTAGTCTCCACCATATCTAATCTGCCACTCAAAGGAGCACACTACGCTACATCTAAATAAGCACGATAAAATAGTAACAGTGAAGGCGTGATAAAAGGATATAGGAAATGTGAATAGCCCAGGGCAGCAGGAGAGATACCACAACTGCTTATCACACGTTTGGTCAAAGGATTGGCTTAACT